AATGAGGAAAAGGCCGGGAAAGCTTTCAGGACTTAGGCTGCTTGAAGAATCCAAGGTGCTTGAATGGGGACAATTAGTTTGTTTCTTCCGTGCATTTTCAATATACCCTGTTCTAAAGTTTCCAGTGACATTAAGGATTGCTCTTGAAACATCTGCTACAAGAGGAGAACCTCTTGGAAAGATCTATTAATTACAAATTTATTTTAGAGATTAAATCAGCTTGATTAAGAATAATGAAAGGGCTAAGAAGGAAAGAGAACTCACAAACCCAAAGCCATCAGTCCTAAAAGTTGGCTTTGTCAAGGTGGGGTACTTGTTGCAATGGCTTTTATTAGTAAGAAATAAGTTCATGTAGGGAATTTCATCGATAGCAGCTGCGATGCTTCCATTGGTAAATAGTTCATCAAGAACTTCCAGCGAAGTAAATTTCTTCACCTTGGATCGGTCGAATGCCAACCTTTGGACTATTTCCTCGGTGAAGGAGCCAACTTGGTACCCAACATTCTCCCCATTCCTCAACAACTCATTTACGTCAGTCACAGTTGGTTGAAACTGTTGAACTGTCAAAGGAGAAGTTAAGTTGGCCGCGTAGATTTGCACTAGAATGAATGCCACAATGCATCATACCACCACCAGAATCCTAGCTGGATTGCTCGACACCCTCTCCCTTGAAAATGCAAAAATAGAATTAGCTATATATGTGTGGAACTAAAAGTGTAATTAAGTTAAGTCAAACTTGTCAACTCCATTATTTTTCCCAAAGAGCTTGAGTATATGAAATGGTGGGATTATTATGGTTTGCAAAAATCACAGTCTATAAGGAGAAGCAAAAGCTAGTTACAACATGATGTAAAGGTGGTCCATGGAAATCTTCATTGATGCTGTGCTCCAGAACCTAGATAACAAATGCTATGAAGGACAAGGAGACAAAGCTCATGATCCAAAGGTTCGGCAATAAAGGCTTCAAGAGCAATAAAGGCTTCAAGAACACCCATGCATTATTCTTTGCATTGTTTCTTATGGGCACCACTATCACCACTGTGGACTCCATAAATGGTAATGTGAAGTCAACGTACAATGACCTGTTTGCCACGATAGTAATGTCTCCCACCACCGCATCATACTTCTGTACACCAAGGTTATTCTTAATTAAGAAATCCAAAGTAGGCTTATTAACTAAAAGATGGTGAATTAAATATAAACTCAAATGGCAAATTACTAAACCCAAAAAAGACTTGATCGATTATATCATTGTAGCTTTCATCCTTTTCCATTTGAATGGGATAGAATTTGTAGGGGATGGGGTCACTACAAGAAAATTCAGTATCACCGACATGGAAAACATTAGTCGGTAAATGAATCACTTACCGACAAAAATCATGTCTGAACCATCAAAAACAGTAATATTGAAATTAATTTACATTATTCTCATTTCAGAGACACACTTCGTCGGTAAATTTAAAATTACACACTTGTTTCTTGTCGGTATTAATTTTGAATATCCACTCTAGCAACTCCGGCAGATTTTTCAGGCGAGTGAGACAGAGCTCACAGGCCGACTAGATCTTCGTCGGTAATTTTCAGCTTCTCCAACAAAAATCTTATCGGTAAGTTAGAGAGTTCTTGGTAATATAAACACTCAGTAACTTTTCAGGGCCGTGGCAGAGAGTTCAGGCCTTTTAAAATACCGACGAATTTCTCGTTGGTGATGGTGATATTTTGCAAGAATAATCTCGTCGGTAACTTGCAAATTTCTAGGTAATATCTACTGCATCAGCTTTTAATCGGAGTGAGCAGAAAGAGCTAGTGCCGATGAAGTTCTTGTCGGTAAATTTGCTTCATACCGACTATGCTTTCGTCGGTAATCTCAGCAAATTGAACTGCTCATGCCTCGGCAGCTGATGCAGGCTTTTTCTCAGTTTGTTGAGAAGATTCCTGCCTGTAGATGATGGGGCTGATCAAGCAGAACCTGTTGTAACGTGAATTTTGTGGCGGCAAGTTTGACCCTCATCTATCTTGCCGACCCCCCCCATTGGCTTCTCATTTTCATCTTCCTCTTCGGACAGCAGTTTTCCTCTCTACCCCTTTGTTAACATTTTTCCTCTACTCTTTTGTTAACATTTTTTCTCTCATCATAGTGAGTAGATCGAGCAACGGTAAGTGAGATTTCTGTAATATTACTCTTTTTATATGTTTTTGCATCAAATCTAAATATTATGCATATTTTATATTTTTTTAGAATTTAAACTATAAAATATTGTAACTAGTTCATTTAACATTAGCATTACAAGATTTATTGTTTTGGATAATATTTATATATATAGCTAGTTGTTTGTTAATAATTTTTCAGCATTTTTTTGTTAAAATTATGGTAATTAATTGTGAAATTTCAATATTATAACAATTATTTAATATTAACACCGTCAAAATCCTCAACTTTGCATTAGATAACTCTATCATGTAATTTTTCTTTAGATTTCATTGCTTGATTTCTGTATTTGTACATAGAACTAGATTATTTATATAGAATAACGAGAAGCATCAATTTTATTTTACAAAATGACCATCTTAAGCCGAAATTGCTAAGTAGTAGGGACCAAATTAAAAATTTTTTTAGTTTAAGGATGAAATTGGGGTCCATGTAATAGTTGAGGGACTAAATTGAGAGTTTAACCATTTTTTAGTTTAAAATCAAATTGGAGCCCATGCAATAGTTGAGGGACTAAATTGAGAGTTTA